CATAAAGTTAAAGGATCGAATCTCCAAATTCTCAAAGTGGAATTTTCAGTTTTGACTTGAATCTTTTGTTTTTGTAACAAATTCCAGCACAATCACACATTTTTGATGTAAAACCAAACAAACAGGAATCATTTTCTGTTGTGTAACGAACTATAAAGGCTCAAAGGCGTCCAAAGATTTGACACAATACTAAATGTCGGAAACACACACACACACACACACACACACACACACACACACACACACACATTTCATTTTCTCTTTAAAAACTGCATTTCTCAAAATAGATCTTTATTAAACAGACACATTACTGCTGCTTTGAACGTGTGCAGTGAAGGAACACACCAGCAGTTCTGCATGTTGTACATCTACATAGAGCTGTTGGTTAGATTGTTACTGTGCGTCTGTGTTCACTTTGGTCAAAGTTGTGTTGCTGTTGCATCAAATTACACGGGCCAGTCTGCGTCATAGCAACCATGGCAGAAAAACATAACATAGTGCTGGGCGCTACACTGTTCAGAATGTCACTAAGTAACTAATCACCAAGTCTGGTCAACTGAACAAATTTGTTACTAATTTGTAATTCAGAATTCCACACAGACCAACAGCATGCTGGGATACGCTAGCAGGTTAGCATAACAGCGTGGAGGTGCTGTGTGCAGTGTGTACGGTCAGGAGCAGCTGAGACGGGGCGAGGATGAAGAAAAGAACAAAAAACAGCGAAGATGACCAAGAGAGGATCTGCTGTTCCTCTGGTCTCTTTGTGGGCGGGGCCGCTCCACACAGTGACATGGATAATGTGCGACTTGAGGTAAGTGTGTTTTTCCTGATGGCTGAATCATTTCCCCCACAAAGCTCGGAGAATAAGTCCAAACAGATTTCTTAAAGCTCACGACCCACAACATGTTGGTTTTGTTACAAACAGGGACGAAAAAATAAGTGGAAACACATCTCACGTAACACTTCCTGTTCTGCTTTAAGGACTCGCTGTGAGAGAGCGCAGGACAACATGGACTGTTGTGTGTGTGTTTAGGGTTTTACACTCCTGACAGGAGAGCGAGCTGCTTCTACATGAAGACCCACTGAGACGACCCTGAAACTGAATCTCACCGTCACGCCGCCCAGCACCACACGCAAAAACACCAAACAGGAATCCTGAAGGTCAGAATTACAAAAGCAGATCGTGATCATTAAACAGAAACATGTTTTCAGGAAAACGTGAGAAATTCATCTCGTTTCGCCTGACAGCTTTGTCACATACATGCAAAACCACTTGTGTGTTCCTTTACATTTGCATGACTACCTGTGCTTTATTTAGAAAAGGAATGTCAGGGCCTGAGCTACAGGCCACAACCATCTGCCACAGTGACTCGCATTCACAACCGTGCACACCGCTTCTTGTTCCCAGGACTGCTGACACGTCCCTGCAGAGCCACCGCTCGCTCCACTGTACAACAGACACACTACAGCTGGTTAATCGGGGGGAGAGGGAGCCACGAGGAAGCACTTGGGTTTCACGAGACTCTGCTTAGAATAGACCTGGGGCTCACAGGCAGTTCACCGATCACACACACACACACACACACACACACACCATGGGAAGTACTCCTAGAAGGTGGCTGCAGTAAGACAAGTCATGAGATCTCAGGGTTGTTGATGATCGGCTGGCTCTTTGTGATGATTAAGTAAAATTCCATCAAGTCCAACGTATGAAAAAAGTGTTTCAAAAAAATCTTTTTTTAAATCTTTAAATACAAATATATACTTACAAAAATCTCACAAATGCATATGTACATTAAAAAAACAGAGCGTCTCCTGTGAGTCCAAGAAAATGAATAAAAAGAAGGATTATCATTCAGTTTGTCACAAAGCAGTCTGGTGAGGAGCCACGCTACACCGTGGTCTCGCCCTGTTTACTGTTGGCCAGTCTCGTGTAAAACCTCCTCCAGGAGTTAAGGGTCTTTCCCGACCAGATCCAGAAGCCAGAAGTGATGCCAACAATGAGCGTCATGAGATACTTGATCATGAAGACGGTGAAGTCCGGGCTCATGTTGGGGTGGCTGTGGGCCGGACACGGCACGGCGTACGTCTTGCACGTCTGGCTGATCCACGTCCTCTCCCACTGCTCTCTGAAGGCCTGCTCGTAGAAGTAGCAGGCGATGACGATGGTGGCCGGCACGGTGTAGAGCACGCTGAAGATGCCTATCCGCACCATCAGTTTCTCCAGCTTCTCCGTCTTGGTGCCGTCGTGCTTCATGATGGTTCGGATTCGAAACAGCGACACGAATCCGGCCAAAAGGAAGGAAGTGCCGATAAACAGGTAAACGAAGAGGGGCGCCAGAACAAAGCCGCGCAGGGCGTCCACGCTGTTGATGCCCACAAAGCAAACCCCGCTCAACACGTCTCCATCCACCTGACCTACTGCCAGGATGGTGATGGTTTTGATGGCGGGAACGGCCCAAGCCGCCAGATGGAAATACTGAGAGTTGGCCTCGATGGCTTCGTGGCCCCACTTCATTCCTGCTGCCAGGAACCAGGTGAGAGCCAGGATGACCCACCAGATCGAGCTGGCCATGCTGAAGAAGTACAGCATCATGAAGAGGATGGTGCAGCCCTCCTTTTTGGTGCCCTGCACCACAGTCTTTATGTCGTTGTCAAACTTGTCATTGCAAACCACCTTGTCCTCCAGTAAAAATCCAGCAATGTAGGCGATGGAAACCATGGTGTAGCAGCCAGAAAGGAAGACGATGGGTCGCTCTGGGTAGCTGAAGCGCTTCATGTCCACCAGGTAGGTGAGCACGGTGAATAAAGTGGAAGCACAACACAGCACTGACCATATGCCGATCCATATGCGGGCGAATTTGAGCTCCTCCTCGCTGAAGTACATCATCCCGTGGGATCTCTTCGGCTCGCACGGCGCGGCGCAGTTCTCCTGCCCGAGGAAGCGGTAGTTCAGGTAGGGAGGCACCCTGAGCGAGGCCGGGCATCTGAACTGGCCGTTCCCCGGGTCAGTAGGTGGCCGCTCGGTGGAGTAGGGCCCGGGCTGGGGCTCCGTGTGGTCCGACATGTTCTGGCCGACGCACAGCTCCCCCGCGCCGTGGACCGGAAAGCTATCGCACGCGAGGCTGTCGGGCCACTGGAAGCCGAACTTGTTCATGAGCGCCTCGCAGCCCTGCCGCGCGCGCTCACACAGAGAGCGGCACGGGGGCAGCGCCTTCTCCAGCACCGTGCACACGGGCGCATACATGGAGCACAGGAAGAACTTTAAATCCGGGGAGCACTGCACTTTCACCAGCGGGTAGAACTGGTGGACCTCCAGCCCCGC